CTTCCTCTGGTGCAAAAGAGAAGCGGGAAGAAAGGAGGGAAATCCTGTGTTGCCTGGTGCAGGAGGGCGGCTGAGGAGAAGCGAGGTCCCCTGGGGAGGCTGCGGCGAGGAATTTATGGGGCTGGAGTTTGCACGGGTGGGCGGGCAGGCGCAGCGTGTCCTAACATTGGGAAGCCGCAGCATGCAGGCCAGAAACAAAGAGGATGGGGCGAGGCCTGGCCTCCGCGGAGCCCACTCTGGACGTCCCTGTCCCCTCCCACGACTGTCTCCCAGGCTCGCTCCCAGCTGCCTTGATGCCCCGCTGCCCGGTCCCCACCGCTGACTCCTCTTACAGGACAGTTGCTGCGTGGGTGTGGGAGCGTCCTGGCCCTGCTGCGGGCCAAGCCGCGGCCTGCTTGTGCCACTGGGCCAGAGCCGCTCTTCGGGTCAAGGCCGGGGGCATTTCCGGTGCCCTGCGCTTAGGTTAGGTGTGGCTTTGGGCAGCCACGGGGGAGGGGGCTCGGGGGCCCCGCCCTTGAGTTCACTTTGAAGCCCATCCTGGTCTTGAACTCCCAGCAGTCCTCCTGCCTCAGCCTCCCAAGTGCTGGGATTACAAGCGTGTGCCACCATGCTGGGCCAATTCCTAGGTATTGCAATGCTTCTTGAGGTTATTGAGTTGTTCTTATTATTTCTTTCTCAGCCAGTTCATTATTGGTGTACAGAAAAGCTATTGAGTGTTTGCTGTTATCTTGTGTCCTATCTTTTGTCTGTTGGGAGGTTGATCGATGACTTCCCCGTCTGACACCAGGGCAGATGTTGCCACGTTGATTTTCCGACCCGGACTATTGTAGTATCCTTTCAATTGGTTTATCTTTCTGCCTCCCGTCTGTCCTCAGGGTGACGCCTTAAAAACATGAGACACCCGTGGACTCTGTCAAAGCCTTCTGGGTCTTTCCATCGCACTCAGAATAAAAAGTAAAGTGCTCACGCTGCCCACGCTCCACGCACCCTGCTGTGATCAGCCTTCCCCTGCACCATCCGGGTCCTCTGCCTTCCTGTCGGGCCCTGGCACGAGGGGCACCCTCTGCCCTTTGCCCTGCCACCGGCCCCGATGTTCCTCCCTCCCCTGCTCCTCTGCCACCTGGCTAGCTCGGGCCTCATCTCTCCCACTCTCCTCAGTTCCATGTTCTAAAGTCATCTCGTTGAGGCTGGCTTGAACCGTTCTATTCAAAGTACAAACGCTTCCGCCCCGTAGCCACTGCCTAATCCTTTCCATTTGCTCTTTCTCCATTGTGTTTATGACCTTTGAGATAATATGTAATTATATGAATGAGCATCTAATCCAGAGATGGAACACAGGACAAAAATGGATAAGCTTATATAATGAACAATGAAAAAAATACCAGTGTGAGGAAAATAGCTGTGGTTTGCAGGGAAAAAGCTGAGGAAGAAATAAGTTGGGGTGTTCCCTTCTACAAGTCTGGGTGCAGACCTGGGAAAATCTGGAGTGTGACTCAAGGAATCTTGGGGCATTTCTTGGTCTTCCGAAGGTCAGAGCTGGTCATGGCCAGGGTTGGGTAAATAGGTAGGGAAAGGCAGGCTGGACCGACAGCAGGCAGCAGGCAGCATTTCTTCCGTCCACAGACAGGTGAGCTGCAACCAAGAAGCCCCCGGGATCCACTGGGGTGTCCTGCCGAACAGCCAGAGAAGCCCTCCGGGGTCCCACTGAGTGCATTATGCAAGTGTCTCAGATGTCCTCTGCTTGTGTCATTGTACATGGCACAGCAGGAGGAAGGAAAGAATCAGAAGCCTCCTGGAGCTGAGAAGGAAGGTGCGTCTTGCAAATCCTTTGCTTAGTGGGCTTGGACTTTGCCAGGTATGAAAAGGAAATGCTGACGGAGTCCCGTAATATGGCTGAGCGGACGATGAAGGGTGCGACTGGAGGTGCAGACAAGACGTTCACCACGGGCGCCATCATCCGCGCGTCGGTTTTGTGTATGTCTGTCCCTCACCCGAGGACAGCGGTACATATGTAGCATTTTTTTTTTAAACTTATTTATTTATTTATTTATTTACTTATTTATGTGTGTGTGTGTGTGTGTGTGTGGCCAGCTCAGCCCACCAGGGGGCGGGGCTGGCTGGCATGTGGTGCTGGGGGATTGAACCGTGGTCTCTGTGCTTTGCTAAGCTTGTTCTAAGTAGGTGCTTTAGACCACTGAGCCATCTCACAAGCCCATATGTAGCATTTTTTGCACCTAGAAGAATGCTTGGTGCACAGAAAATGTGCAAAGCCACTCAGCACGTAATTACACCTATCCCCTAAGGCCGCTTGTGGCACGTCATCTCATGGACATAGAATGCTTTGTGGAGCCATTGTTGTTTCGACGGTTCAGCTGACTTGCCACTAGGCGTGAGGTCCGGTCAGTGGGAGGCGAAGACAGAAGCGGCTGGGCCCTTGGAGACTGAAACAGAGGCTTTGCCGTGCTCTCGGCAGAGGGAGTGAAGACAAGGCCTCTGGAGCGCAGGCCAGCACTAGGTCCCTGTAAGCGGGGAGGGTGTTGTTGCAAACGATGCCTGCCCGGGTGGCACATGGGCTCCTGCTGGTGTATCGGTGCAAGAGGATGAAGGAGCCTCCATGGCGTCGGAGTCAGCCTAAGCAACTCTTTCCAAATGAATGAACAACCCCCCAAGAGATGTACCTCGGAAGCAGGAGCCCTGAGTGTCCGCCACGTTATCGAAGAGGGACAGTATTAGCTGGTTTTCTGTGAAGCTGTCTTCCTGGGAAGTTTGGTTTCTGCCTGCCTGGAAGATCTGCGCTTGGAATCTGGTGGCCAGCTTGGGCGGGAGGGGGCTACTGTGTCTGTACCTTTGCTCAGAAAACCAAGAAGCTCTACGTGGACAGCTGTGCCCGAGGCACCTAGGCTCCATCGACCGTGACCCACAAGATGAGCGAAGGACCATGGTGGCCAGAAATGAAGACGTGTCACCTCAAGGACAGGACCTTAGCACTGGAGGCAGGGCTGCTATTTGTCCAGCCTGCCCAAGAAATACAGCCAGGATGTGAAGTTTCACAAGACGTGCTCCACTCAAGCCCAACTTGCAACTGTGGTTGTGTCTTTTTTGTGTGTGTGGTTGTATCTTCGACCATGTTAATAGTGTGTGCGTGTTAGTCCGGTGTCCGTGACGTGGTAAATACAGTCACTGGCTGGGGGGAACCTAGGACCTGGCAGGCATGTTTTTAGGAAGCTGCGCATATAGGAATGTGTATTGGAACGCAGGGGAACTTCGTCTCTAAACTTCTGTCTCTCCTCTCAGCAGAGGAAGTGAGAACTTCGCAAGGAAAGGCACGTCCTGACGACGGAAGATCACCGCCATTTAGTGAAGCTCCCCCCTCTGTGGAAATTCCCTTTTGCGGGCAAGGGCTTTCTTTAGGTGCAAAGCCATGTTTGTTTGGAATAGTTGGGTGTTTTGTTTTTTTCCCTTTGAGTAAGACTCTAGGACAGCACAGGCTGAGGCTGGTCCTTCAGTAGGGCCGCAATGAAACAAGGTAGCCACCCTGTGCCCGCAGCATGCTGAAGTCCCTTCAAAGACAGCAGCTTGGGCCGGGGAGATGGCTCAGTAGAATAAGTGCTTGCCTGGCAAGTGCAAGGGCCTGAGTTCAATCCCCGGTTCTGCAAAAAACAAAACCAACAAACAAAAACAAAGACGGCAGCCCTTTGGGAGTTCTTTTGACTTTAAGTAATATTCCTTTTGTTGGTGACATTTGTGATTGTCAGTAATCTCGGTTTTTTATGGCCTTTCTAGCCGGACTCTGAGTATGCGGAGGTTAGCAGCTGCTGGGCTGCGGCGCACTCCCCGCGTGTGGCCCCCTGGAGGCAGCGCACACTCCGCGGGCTCCTTCTCCGATTTTTGCCAATTGCCTGGTTGCTTTAGAGTTAAATGAGTTATGTTCAGGCGCCTTGAAATACACAGCACTCCTTGATTAAGAAGCTAACATTTTTCTCTCAGTGACTTTTGGAACAAAAAGACTTAAATTGGGGATATCAGTAAATGTATTCCGCAGCTTTTGGTTTATGTGGCTACAAGAGCTGTGTAGCCACGCCCTCCCTTCCTCCTGGCCAGCCACGGACGCCCGTTCCTAATCCTACAGGTGAGGGGCGCATCCAAGGCTGTGCACAGCAGCCTTGTGTGTGCCAGCCTGGACAGAATGGCGTGTCTTTTCATCTCTGGGTAGACAACGTTTTGATTAATCAGATCCAACAACAATATTCCACCTTCCTGATGCATATGTCATTGGCCACAGCAGGGGGCGGGAGGATTGTGGTCACTGTCAAAGGCTCCCAGGCCACTAAAATTAGGAACATAAAGGCCATCGCCCGCGAGGAGTGCTGCAGCCTGCCCGCCCGGTCACCTGCGACCACCCAGACGCTGTCTCGGCTGTGAGCAGAGTTTGCAGATGAAGGCCCCGATGTGGACCATCCTGCTGCTTGGTCTGGCGGCCTCACTGCAGGCCCAGGACGCTGGACCAGGGGCTGGCACTGTGAGGCTGGGGGAGAGGGGCGCACGGGGAGCGCAGATGGGCCGGGAGCCCTGTTTCCAGAGGAACACCCCTGGCTCGGAGTGGTGGGCAGACATGGCCACTCCCGTGGGGGCAGGGCTGCAGTGGGGAGCGGGTCAGGGCCAGGGGTCTTGTCGAAGTGAAGCACAGATCCGGAAGGCTCTGCGGGGCCGGGGCCTCGGGGACGAGGACTCACGGGGCCTGCTGCTTTGTCTTCAAGGGAGACATGTGCTCTGGCGTTGCTGGGAGCCGGCAGCCCGAGAGCCGGGCATGTTCTACGAAGCATGGAGGTGGAGCTGGACGGGGTGGGAGGCCTGCCTGTCTCTGGGGCTGGAGCTTGAGATATAGGGTTGTCTAGGTTGTGGGCTGGCCTGTGGGTAAGCAGCGGAGGGCTGATGGCGCCATCCACTCCAGTTTGAAGGGACCTGGTACCTGAAGGCTGTGGTGGCCAACAGGCAGATGCCAGAGGCAATGAAGCCCAAGAAGTCATTCCCTGTGACAGTGACGGCTCTGGGAGATGGTGGCTATGAAATCCAGTTTACCTTCTTGTGAGTATTGTCCCCCTTGGGTCCCTTAAGTCTATTTTTCTCCTCTGTCCCCAATCCCATTTGGGGTAAAGGTGGCTAAATGTCTCATGACCTCAAGGGGGCACAGTGCCAGGCAGTGTCCTATAGCTTTGACAAGGTGGTGTAGAGTTTTGGTGTCACCTGGTCAGGACCAGTAGAGGGGGTAAGTTGAGCCAGGCTCAGGTGTGTCCGGGAGCGCAGGTCCCGTGAGCTGCCCACGGGCTGCCCATGACCCTCCTGTTTTTCAGCTATAAGAATAAATGCCAACAGAAGATCATTGATGTGGAGAAAACCAGCGATCCTAAAAAATTCAAAACCTGTGAGTGCAGCCCAGCTGTGCCCAGGCTCAGCCTGCCCTGGGGAGGGAGCGCGCCTCCTCTGTCCACCTCTCTGCCAGAGCTGCCTTCACCCTCCCTGGAGGTCTTGTGGCTCTTATTCCACATGCTGGGCATTCTGGGCTTATCTATAGTATGGGCTGCCCTCTCACCCTCCGTCCTGCTGTGGACACCTGGGGACACTGAGGGCTGAGGATTTGGGGTGTGGGCCAGTGCAAGCACTCTGTTCTGGGCCAGGCTTCGGCCTGGACACCCCTGTCCTCCACCGTCTGTGCCCCTTGGCTCAGGTGGGCACCCTCTCTGCCCAGGGCCTCCCGGCAAGGATGCGCCGGTCTCTCGGCCTTTGAAACATCTAGATCGCTCCTTAGAGTCTCAAGTGTGCTTTCTAGGAGTGAAGACACTAACGTGCTGTTCTCTCTGTTCGTCTTCAGCACAAGACATGATGGTAACTATGGAGGAGATGCCTGTGAAAGGCCACCGCATCTTCTACATTGAGCACCAGGTGTTTGGGATGACTGTGCGCATCGCAAAACTCATATGTAAGGAGCCCTTCCTGCCTCCTGCCAGCTTCCTGTCTCGAGGCCTTGTCCTGGCGCTGGCAACTAAGAAGCCTCTGGGTTGGCTAGGGGCACTGGGCACGGCCTGCTGACCTGGTAGAGCGCGAGCTCTGGCCTGGGAAGAGGCGCAGCAGGACAGGAGTGCCAGGACATGCAGGCGCTCGGACACTCGCCATGCTGGCAGGGAGTCCTGCTTGCTGCCGCTGCTGGTCGCCGCCTCCTGGGGTCTCTGGCACAGACAGGGTCATCTTGGCACCCCGTCCCTCCGTTCTCAGGATGAAGCCCCTGGTGCTGGCTGGCGGCCCTGTCCTCAGGGCATTAGTTTCCCGCTGAGCTGAGTAGCCACCCCCTCCTCCCCCACAGCGAGGAAGCCAGAGGACAACCCAGAGGCCATGCGGGAATTTAAGAAGTTCATGAAGAGCAAGAAGCTCCCTGTGGAGTACATGGTTGTCCCCAAGCAACTCAGTGAGCGCAGAGCCCTTCCTGCATCCCCCAGTGTCACCGGGCCCCTCTCCTTCTCCCTGGCTTGGATCTTGACTGTGGGAGGTGACTGTGGGTGAGATGGGTCTAGGTGCCCTCTTCCGGAGCACCTTCCCACTCCACGGCTTTTCTTGGTTCCCACAGAGAACTGTGTCTCCTAGGTGACTTGGGTAAGTGACTCTAGAGAGAACATTGGAAAGGTCCAGAGTCCTGGGTTCCTGGAATTCGAGGCCCCACCTGCTCCAGTTCCACTCCTATCCCCAAAAGGCAGGAAATGGCCCCACATGGGCTGGGCAGACATGGTCACCCAGGAGCTGGCCTGCAGTGTGAATCCCGTACCTTGGAGAAGTCCTTTCTGAGGCACTGTTGGCCGTCATCCCACGCCCACCCCCTGGTCTCCCATGCTCCACGCCCCACCCACATACCCACCAAGGATGCTCAGAGCTTGCTCAACCCCAGAGAAGTCAGGATTGCTCTGCACATCTGCCCAGGCAGGACCACCCAGCAGCCTGGCACCTGCCCATCCCCAGGACCCTATCTCAGTTCCTCTTCCCAACACAGCTGCCAGCCAGGTCTGCATATCCTGAGCCCGCACTACTGCCCACCTGGAGCCTGAACGCTGATGGGCTGGCCCTCCTGCAGCAGCCCCTCCCTCCCCCGACTCTGCCTGACTCCAAATAAAGAGCTTCAGCAATCACTGTGGGCTCAGCCTGTCCATAAGAGGGCCTTAAATTGGCTTCCTGAGCTCTGCTGGCAGAGGGAATCGTGGGGAAGGTGGGAGACCTCGGCCCTAACCGTGGCCAGAGCTCAACACGCGGACATTGCATAGAGCTGTAGGGCCACATGACGTCCTTGAGGTCCCCTGGTGAGCCATCGCCCCGTGTGGGCTGGATGAGGCTGGCACCTGGGTAGGGGCTTCTGGGAAGCCCCTGGAGAGGGCAGGGCAGGGGGAGATGTCTGCATCAGGGCTGGAGATTGTGCCCACAGGACCTTCATGGGCTCCTGTGGGCGCACTGAGTAGCCTGCGCGTGGCAGCAAGGCTGAGGGAGCGTGTCCAGCTCTTTATGTTTGCTTTCTATTTATTTATTTAGTTTTGGCTGGCTCAGCCCACACTGAGGGCTGACACAGCATGCGGTGCTGGGATCAGACCGTGGTTCCCTGCAGCCCCCTAGGCTTGCCTGAGCAGCGCTTTAGACCGCTGAGCTATCCTGCTGGCCTGTCCAGCACTTTCCTCATCATCTCTCGAGCAAGCGAGCTGGCTACAGCCGTCCTGGATGTTGCTCCCCTCCTGGCTCTGTCTGTGGTCTGTCTGGGGACCAGGATGTGTGCACATCGCCTACAGGGAAACGTGGTGAAGGAGGAGACGCCCTGCATCCTGGAGATGTGGGCAGCCCCAGAAAACACTAATGCCACCTGTACCCACCTCCACTAGGAACGAGCCTGCAACGTGCCCACCCACCGAGGGCCTGCGGGACTCTCAGTCACATGGCCGTGAGCCGATGCCCACACGCACCGCCGTCCCGTCCTGTCCAGGCCTGGGTTTTGGCGGGGGCTGCTGGTTGGTCCTGAATTGGAGGATGAAGCAGCCTGGACACCCTGGAGGGCAGGGGCTGGACTGACTCTTCAGTGACCACTGACACTACTAAACTAGCAAAGGGTCAGGAGCTGCCAACCAAAAATATTTTTAAAAAATAGGTAAAAATACATCGCTGGTCTCAGGGTGAAAAATGATTTTCAAAATATCAAAAAGGTAGGAAAAATACCTCTATTGAAAAGATAGACATTTGATCAGAATAAGAAAATGTAGGTATAGAAAGATTTTGTACAACAAAGAGGTTTACAGAGTAGCACGTAGGTCATTTACCTGGGTCCGCTGCAGGCCATGTACCTGGGTCCGCTGCAGGCCATGTACCTGGGTCCGCTGCA